GCCAAATGCATTAGTAAAAGCCACCAAAAACATTAATGCACATTTCATTTCATATGTAATGCAAGGATGGCCTATGAGATAATATTACTATCTCAAGTTTCAACTTTTAATTAAGATTTAAGAAAGGAATAATCTTTGTTTATTTACATTTTTTTTCTTTTCTCTTCTTTCTTGTACCTTTTTCATTTGGTTTGTGGGAGGGGAAAGATGTTAAATTTATTTATTTTATTAAGTTAAGGTGATTACAAGTAGTATATGTTCTAAATATACTCTCAACCATTTAACAATGAACACTCAATCACATTGTTGCAGTCGTTGGTGCTCAACCATTTAATCTGTTGACATAAGGTGATATGCTTCTCGAATAATCCGAATTTTAATAAAATATAGGGTTAATTATGTGTTCGGTACCTAAACTATCAGTTTTGACCCATTTTAGTACCTGAACTTTCAATTTTTTTTCAAAACCATACCTAAAGCTTAGTTTTGGTTTCATTTTAGTACCCTGTTTAAAATTTAACATTAAGTTTTGAAAAAATTGAAAGTCTAGGTACTAAAACGGACAAAAACTGATAGTTTAGGTACTAAACGCGTTAAGTTTTTAATGCAGGGTACTAAACTGAAACAAAAATTAAACGTTAGGTATGGTTTTAAAAAATTGAAAGTTTAGATAATAAAACAGACTAAAACTAATAATTTAGGTACTAAATAAGTAATTTACCCAAATCTAAATAAGAAAATTAGTCTAATGTATATTTATTTAAAAGATGATATTTTATATAAAATAATTAAAGCAAAAAAAAATTGCCATCTTTTTTTAACTATTTGTTATTTTATATTGATGATGCACATTATTTAGTATAAACTAATATTTTTCAAGATTATACCCAACTTTTAAATTTTGTTTCATTTTAATACCCTACCTTTAAAAACTTTAGATTTTTTATGGATAAATTACATAAAAATTTAGACAAAAAACCATATCTAACACATAATTTATCTTATATTAAAATTAGGGAAAATTATGTGTTTAGTACCTAAATTATCATTTTTAGTCCATTATATTACTTAAACTTTTAATTTTCAAGATTATACCTAAAACTTAATTTTTATTTCATTTTAGTACATCACCGTTAAAATCTTAACGACACTGCAATTTTTATGGGTAAATTACATCCTTCAACTATCTTCTCACTCCTATTATGGTACTAAAGTTTAAAAATTTTCAGTTTAACTACTCAACTTTCAAATTGCTCATATTTTAATCACTCTAATTTATTTTATTAATAATTTTTTGTGAAATGACTTTTTTATTATTATTTTATTAATATATTATGAAAAATAAAAAATAAATTTGAAAGTTAGAGTGATTAAATTAGGAGTAACTAGGATGTTAAGTAATTAAATTAAAAAATTAAACTTTAGTCACCAAAATAGGAGTGAGAAGATAGTTGAGTGATGAATGATACAATTTACCAATAAAAAAGGTGTCATGTGCAAATCACCCTTTACGGCGAGGTACTAAAACAAAATAAAAACTAAACGTTAGGCATAGTTTTGAAAAAAATTGAAAGTTTAAGTACTAAAAAGGGACCAAAACTGATAGTTTAAGTACTAAATGCGTAGTTTACCCTAAAAATTATATGAAAACCCATAGAGGAATAAGATAAGAGTGCATTAGAAGGTAATTAAGTTGGTGGGTTTTTAGTTAAACATCATTAATTCTATGTATTGTCGGGGAGGGGGAACAAACTCTAAACTTTATTACTCATTAATCAAGCATGTATGGGAAATTAAAGACATAATCTGCCGGAGATAAATTCATTATAATACCCTTAATTTTCACTAATATTTCTCATTTCTTTGTATTATTTCTGTTCGTGTAGTTTATAAAGTCTTTCTTTCGTTTTCTACAATATTTACGTGAATTATTTTTAGGGTAAAGTACACAAATGGTCCCCCGGCTATAGGGTAGTGCTTTATTAAGTCTCTTAACTATTAAAAGTTATATAATGGTTCTCCGACTATAGAGTGTTGCTTTGTTGAGTCACTCGACTATTAAAAGTTACAAAATGATCATTCAACTATTCATATGTTCCAAGCTCATCATTTTTCATTAAAAATTGACGAGCTGAACGTTAACCTATTGATTGTGATATGATAAAATACGATCCCAAAATCTCAAACGACTATTAGATTTTAGTCATCATGTTAATGTTCAACTCAATCGACCGACAATTTTTTAATAGAAAAGGACGAGTTTAAAACATAATGAATAGTCTAGTGACCATTTTGTAACTTTTAATAGTCGAAGGACTCAACAAAGCAACACTTTAAATTTATCATTCAAGTTTTACTACACTTCTGTTTTGGTTATTGAGCTTTAAATTTTTTTAATTTGATTTTTGAACTTTTAGATTGCTCTATTTTTATCACCTATCGTTAAATAATTAACAACATTATGATTGGACATCTATTTTTTTTATACAAAATCATGAAAGTCATTTTTTTTTTCAATTTTGTGAGAAAAGGATGGTTTTTAACTCATTTAATTTTCTAGTGATGAATCATCTTCTTTCAAATCCCAATCACGAGAAGGTGGAGGAAGGTGGAGAAAGATGAGATAAGCTATATATTCTGATTCTACATTGATCAAATAATGGAAATTGTAGTTCATAGTCATTTTCTCGTAAATTTTGAGTTGAGTTTTGCAAGTTTTAAAGATATTTTAAATTGATAGAGCCAGGGACGTGCAAAGGATATTATATTAGGGGTGAACTTAAACTTATAAAATTATACAGGTTAAAACAGATTTTTAATAAAAATTACATAAAAAATCTAAAATATATGATAACTTTAAACTTTTAGGGGGCTCGACTGCCCTCACTCGTCCCCGCCTAGGTCTATCCCGGGATAGAGTGGTATTGATAGTGAGAGAAAATGTTGAATAATGACACTTAGGGTTCGTTTGTTTCACTCAAAATATTTTATGGAAAATGTTTTCCGTAAAATGAATTACATTTTCCGGAAAACGTTTTACGGTTTTTGAAAGAGGTTGTGTAAATCATTTTCCACTAGTTGATGAATTTTTTTAAAAAATATTTATTACAAATATTAAATAAAATAAATAATATTATTTATCATAAAATTAATATTATTATATTTAAAATATTAGAATTATTTATTTATTATTAAAATATTATTTCTATACTTTTATTAATAAAATATTAAGATGTTAGGGGTTTGAGCGTTCAATGTTTAAATGTTGAGAGTTATCAATGAAAAGATACTATCTTGTATTTACTCCCGATTAATAAAAATATTAATAATTTAATAATATTATTTATATGAAATTAATAAATAATATAAATTTTATTAACAATTTATTATATATTATTAAAATAAAAATATAATATCTTATATTATTATAATGTAATTGAATATTTTAGTATAACATTAAAAAATATAATATTATATTATTAGAAATATTAATAAATATGTTTTTAAATATTTTAATAATTAATATTTTGATTAAAATGATATTAAAATATTTTATTAATATTAAATTCATAAAATAAAATTATTTTGAGTATTTATTCTTTGAAGTAAAAAGTTCGGAAAATGATTTACGGAAAATCAGACCGTAAGTCATTTTCCAGAAAATACAAAGAAAATTCTGTTGACTAGGAAAATATTTAAAATTGACTAACTGATTTTCCTCTAACCAAACATTAAAAAAACGTTTTTTTTTAAAATTATTTTACATAAAATAAACAAACCCTTAGTGTGACGGAAAAAAATTTAAGATTCTCTATGGTGAGGAAAAAAAGAAGGTGAAAAAAATTGCGTGGTCAACAAATTGCTTCCACATCAGTAAAATGTATTTCATGTTAGTAAGAAATCAATCACATCACCCAATTATTTTTTATTTAATACTTGAATGACTAACATAAAATAATTCAAAATTTTAATAATTAAATTAAACATTTTAATTTTTTTTTTATTAAAACTGAAATATGATCAATTTTGAATGATGAAATTTGTTCAAAATATATTAATATTTTTGTATTTTTATATTTAATTTTACACAAATAATAATAATAATAATGATAATAATAATTTGAAAATCAATTCAATTTGTTCGAGCTTGTCAATTCTTAAAAGAAAAATTTTCTCTCATAGTTTTCTCTCATTGGTACACCGTTCATCCATTTTTCTTTTCATATTTATTGATGGGCGACATCATCAATTTTAATGTTAATTTTTAATTATCGGTATTCTTTATTGTCTTTTTTGTTTTCTTCTGTCTTTTTGATTTTCAATAAGTATATTTGTATAGCATTTTTTTTCGGCTGTTTAACTATTATTTTCACTTATCTTTTTCTAAGGTTTGATTTGACATCGTCACGACTGATCAAGATGTCTCTTATATGTTATATTATTGATCTTCCCTGCTTTGGACCATCGGATTGGATTTGGATACTCGTTATGCGTTCGTAGATAGATTTTCATGTCCCTAGAGTCTAATATGTGGTTTGTCATGGTCTTTCAGTGATCAGATCTGTTTGTATCTATCTTTATTTGAGTTTCTCGGTTAGGTTTTAATCTTTCCTTATACGGTCCTTACGTGATCTTGAGTTGCTAGTTTTATTTAAATTATTATAGGAAAACATCTTAATTATGTACTTAGTTTACGATTATGATTGTAAATCTTCATTGTGATTGAGATACTTTCTATTTTGAATAAAACTAGTGGCTTCTATACAAAAATCAATTCAAATTAAATTGGTACAGTGAAATTCTTCTCTTCTACTCGTATTTTTCACTTCTCACTTTTTTTTATATACATATCAATATGTCTTATTTTACCGTACGATCATTTATTTTTTGTTGTATTTTGTAACAATATTGATAATGCTTGGGCTTGCAAGAAAGAAAGAGGAAAGTCTCACGTGCGGCAGCCTTAATAAACAACTAAGAAAAGACGCTACCAGTTTTGTTATTATTTTTTAACAAAATCGGTAAAAAAATTATCGAAAACATTATTATTTCTACCGATTTTGTTATTATTGGGCTCTTTACTGGGTTTGGTAAAACGCTACCTAAAATATTATTTTTTTTCTACCGGTTTTGTTATTATTGAACATTTTACCATAAATGTTAAAAACATTAATGTTTTAGGTAAAAATAATAATGTTTCCGGTAATTTTTTACCGAAAATATTAAAAATAATAATAATAAAACCGATAGCATATTTCTTTAGTCATATATTAAAGCTGCCGCGGTAGAATTTGCCGAAAGAAAGGCACATGCAGAGGCAGTAAATGGAGTTCAAATTCCTTTGCTAATTACAGGTGATGTGTATGGGACCTTTAGTACACTTTTGCTAATTATATGCCAAAGCCTTTTATTTTTCTTTCTCTTTTAATTAAAACCCTATTTCCATCTAACCCAAAAAAAAATCCAAAATGTCATTTTCTTATTCAAAAAAGTCCTCATAGAATCCCATATTTGGCAAATGAACTCTAGATTTCCAACTTGGGGCATACCAAATCTAGTTATTTCCCTCCAATTTTCTCCATTACTTTTCAAGTTAGTCCCAAAAAGAAAATCAACAAATCAACAAAAGTATATATATATATATATATATATAAGTTTTGTTTTTTTCACGTAGTAAACCCAATTTATCATTTTCGTCCCTGTCATTTTTTCATCAATTTAGCCTATAAGTTGTCTATGGTGTTCATCCTAGTCCTCGAAGTCCATTTTGACAAACATAACCATTAGTCTTTTGCATTTTTCAACACCAACAATTTTCAAATCATCAAATATTACTGACGTGGCTTGATGATGACGTGACATTTATTAAAAAAATATAAATAATAAAATATTTACTAAATACAACGGTTAGAAAAAATGCCCAAAATTTTGACAAGATCCCTTAATCTCACTGAAATAAATAATAAAATTTTGGGAATTTGTTCTAACCAGTGTGTTTAATAAATATTTTAACCTAATCTCTTAATCCACAAATGTAGAAGACTCATAGTGCTATTAGTAAAAAATAGTCAACGAACTTCGAGGGCTAGGATGAACAACATGGACAACTTCGAGGGCTAAATTGATGTAAAAAACGATAGGAGAAAAAAATGATAAATTGAGTTTACTACAGGGACAACAGTGACCCTTAAGTTTTTTTTTTTTTTTTTAAAGTTAATGCCTTGTAGAATTGATTAAGAAACATGTAGTTACTACACAAAAGCGACAATTCGAGTTGAAGAGTGGTGTTGATATGTCGACAATCATATATCTACTTCAAGATTACATATATATATATATATATACATACATATTGCTTTCAAACTGACTCAATATGATCCGTAATTAATATCTTGTTTCTTGAATGGGGTCATGTTTATGTAACATTTTTTATTAGTTAATCAATTTGTATTTGCACAAAATTTTAACTTGGTGACTTCGGGGTTGTTTGGAAATGTTTATGGAAGTGTTTTTCGCCCAAAATTCCATTTGAAACGGGAAAGCATTCCTAAACAACTCCTTTTCAGCCAAGAATTTACGTTAGAAACGTAATTATAGATTCAAATAAAAAAACTAGAAAAACGATACTTTTGCGTTGGAAAAGCTCGTTTGGAGAAGCATTCCCAAACCATTTCATCATCAAAGTTTTGTAGAGTTATATTTTCAGTTTTTACATGGTATTTGGGTCATGGAACGTAAGATTATATTCATATATAAAGTTAGGATCAAATGTTGGACCTTTTTTTTTGCTCAACAAAATTTGATTTTGTTAAAAATCCGCTAAGGAAGAATGCCTCGTTAAAAACAGGAAAAGAGTACATTCGTCCTAGCAAGCAAAACCAAAATACAACTTTAGCATTTAGCCAGATACAAACAGTACACTCCAATCTTATGATAATCAATCAACAATCTATTTAGTTGGTGTATGTATGAGAAGTAGGTCTTTGAGATGTAATTTTTACCTAGTTGTATTGTACTCTTTTCCTCCATATAGGTTTAGGGTTGTTTTTAACGAGCCATTAAACTTAGGTTTAGGGATTGTTTGATTAAATCCTTAATAATATCATATTTCCCAAGTAAAAAAAAACGACAATGCACAAATATTCCGTGGACGTAGCGACTTTATTTTCTTCAGGAAGAATAACATTCTCTTTTATCATTGAAATCACTCAAGAGAGAAATTACGAAGAAATTATTTAAAAAGAAGTTACATTTTTTTCATTAATATGGGGTAAGTAAAATGTGATATATGTTCAAAAGATAACTCTCAACTATCTGACATTGAACGCTCGCACCCCTGATATTCATGGTGCTCCAACCTAGAATCTCAAAGAACACCAATAATTTATTTATTATCGAGATTGCTTGGTTCGAGCAAAATGAAGAATAGGGAGAACATTGTATTACAAGGAAAATGTGAGGAGGGCATTACATGCATGGGTTTTCCATGCAAAAATGTTAGTTATCATCTGAAAAAGGCAACTCAAACTGATATGTCAATGTCTAACTTCCGTAGGAGAAGCAACAATATGTCTGACCTCAAATATTTAGTCACAAGTTATAACGTTGATTAAAATGAAAATGTTTTAAAAAACCCTACCCTATTATTATACGTTCCATCATATTCGATAATAATTTAATTAACCAAGTTACCTCAGTGACTAAAGAGATGATGATTATTTCTAAAGATCATGAGTTCGATCATTAGCGATTATAATATATCCGAGCCTTTATTATAGTATCTAGAATAGATACTAACATAAATTAACGTATATAATAATTGGTAACTAGCAAAAAGGAAAAAGTAATCAAATTTATAGAGGTTGGAGTAATAAGATCCAGAGAAAGTGAGAGCAAGGGGGGGCAAAATCAATTTTCTTTATTTTATTTTGTTAGTGACACGTGATTATGTTGAGTAGGGACGGAGGTACATTGTAGAAAGGAGGGACATTGTCTCTAATTTTGTTCGTTTAATTATATTTTAAGTAGGGACATATTTTGATATGGATTTGATGGGTATTGATTGGATTCAATCTGAGTAGGTCTGATTTATTTTCTTTTAAAATTCAAGTTTGGGTTAGATTAAGTTATTTAGGATGAAGTTGTCGAATTGAGTCGGGTTTGAGTTTAAGATGAAAAATGTGACACGATTCGAAATAATATTATACTTATTTTTTATATATTCAGATATATTGTAATAATATCGCTCTATATATTATTTTTCCCCAGTTAGATCCTTATTATACCTAAAAAATAAACTATGTCTATATGTTAGACGGTGTGGTTTTTGAGTTTTTACCTCAAACTTCATGTAACACCCTAAACCCGATTGGGCCTAAATTGTCATATTGGGCTACCGAGGCAACCCCTGATTTTCAAAACATTATCATTTTTCTTTTCAAACATACTGAATGGTATCATATAATATACAAAACAGTTACTAAAACATTTTAATAAACTGGAGCTCAATGACACATAATTTATAATCACAATAATACAAACCCTTTCTTATAAATCTAAATACATAAGTAAGGTCTTGTGAATACACATGCCCTCTAAACTACAATACAATACTCTGAAGGAGAAGCTGGAAGTCCTGTTGCGACTGTGCTCCACGAACTGCTCAAGCTAATGACTTGTCAACGGAAAACATCTGAAGGCTGAGCTTACAAAGCCCAAAAATAATCGCTAATCTAGAGCAACATTAAGAGTTCATAAACATAAGTGTGCTAAAGATATGGTACTAAGAGGTAGGTACATGCATGACCTAGATCAAGTGCTACCTACCTAAGGCATAGTTGTCATATGTTTAGAGTAGGAGTCTCATACTTACCTATATCCTATACTAAAGGCTTAACCATGAATACACCTCTAAGAGTCTCTAACCTTAATGACTATATCTGATGCACATTGTCTAAATGCGCTATTGGCGCTCTTATGCATTATATGAATGCGACACTAACTCTACTATGAAACACATAAACATAAACACATAGGCTAAGGTAGGCATCATGGTATGGTTGAGGGGCTACATCTCGGAGCTCAACACCCCTTTAGCCTACCTAAACTACTATGTAACACACAAAAATTGAGGTATCATGGTGCGTCTAAGGGGATACATCTCGTAGCTTACACACTCCTATAGCCTGCATACAATACTATACGACACATGAGTTGAGGTAAGCATCATGATGCAGCTGAGGGGCTACATCTCAGAGCTCACACACCCCTCTAGCTTACTTAAGAACTCATGTGTAAAATGGGGTGATATTCAGAACTACATTAGAAACGTACACCCCGCCAACTTACTCCATCGAGTCTTAAGGCATCTACACCCAGCTGACAAAAGAAAATGTTGTTGCACTGACTGGTATATACTTGGACATACTGATAAATAGAACATCACCCTACTACTAAAGTAACTCAAGTGTCCTAGCTATTTCTTGAGTGTCGTACAAAGGAAAATTTTATGATACTTATCTCTTTAGTTACTTAAGCTATTTTTATTCTCGTTTGTTGTTCTTCCTAGTTGTTATCTTGTTCGTTCCCTTATCTAGAACATTATACAAAGGTTTATTAGTCTATTACTGCTTTTATTTATTAGGCATGCTCTATTCTGGTAGTTCGATACTTAAGGGCATTTTAATCATTTTCTGTCTCTGGCCAAGTCTGTAAGCGTTTTTGAGGTTGTACGACTATTTTTGAGGTTGATGTTCACTGATTGTATTATCTGTTAGCCTGATGTATGACTCGGGTTCAATACTAGGTAGCAACACTCTAATCGCCCTCGTTGAACTTCCTTTCAACACCCCTCGAAGTGAAAGGATGACTTACTCCTCCTAGGTTCTCCGACGTTCTCGAAGCCTATGCTCTTCGCTATTTCTAAATCTAACTTGCTTATTATTCCACTGGTCGATACATCCCCTGTAACAATCCTCGTTCTCTATTATCTGCATATGTGCTCGGCAAAAGATACTTCATTGTATACAACTTAGAATGGTACCTATGTTTTAACCCGCTTCCACGAGTATTTCTAGGTATGTTTATGCGTTCAAGTCCCTTACAAACTTATTCTTACTATTAAGGATTATTCTTAGCTCTTATGGGCCTTAACCGGGTTAAAACTGACCATCCAAAGGGAGTAGTATCGATACTCTACTTGTAGTATAGATACCCCTATGAGTATCGATACCAAAAATACATTATGCTTCCAAAAAGAGGCTCAATATTGATACTGTCACCTTCAGTATCGATACTGGAGAGGCAATATCGATACTCTCCTTGACAACTTCTATACTCCAAGCCTAGAATCCCTAATTTTAGCCCCAATTCATCCAGTATCAATACGGTTCATCTTAGTATCAATACTCAAACCCTAAAATGGTTATTTAGGCACAAAAAACCACTCCAAAACCATTCTAAAGGCCATAGTTTGGTTTCTAATCAAGTGCTAAAGCTTTAGGGAGTTAATTAGGTCTTAAAGTGGCATAACACGTCTTTAAAACGTCTAAAACTTCATTTGGTCATGAAATCAAATATAAACCCTAAAATGCTTAAATACTTAGTTCTTAGCAAAATCTTTAAATTTATGAAAAATTAATACTCCAAAGGATTAGAAATACACTACCCTGGTGCTAGAAACCCGAAATGATGTCTCTTGATTAGTCAAACTTTTTTCCTTTGTGATTTGGATGATTTCTCTCAACTTTTCTCTTTAGCTATAAAAACCCATGGCTTGAATCACTTTGGCATGGCCTTTGAAGCGGAAGAGAAGATAGGAAAATGAGAGAAAATGAGAAGGAGAAGAAAAATGAAATAATATAAAGGTTTATCTTTTGAAAATGGGGAAATAACACTTTTGGTACTTCCTCATTTTCTACCAATTAGAAATCTCCTTATTGTGACTAATTGGGCCCGATCTCCACCCAATTAAGACCAACAACTTAAATTATAACACTTCACGGAGTCCACTTACATCTCGGGTGAACTCGAACTTTTGGATGTTACACTTCAAGTCAAGTTTTGAATCAGATGAGGTCCTAAAATCGAGTCAAATGCATGTAGAAAGGTTTAAATTTTGTGTCAAGTTTGAGTGGACCAAAAACTGGACTTGAACCATATTCATTCCTAATTTCAAGTTTTTTTTTTGCTCGGTGAAGGGTATTTTATTGATAATTATCGATCTAGACCTAGAGTCTCATTAAAAACCTCCATAACGGTAAATAGAGGAAAATAATACTCTCCATTCCTAATTTTAAGGTACTAATAGTTTTAAAACCATTATAATTATTCCTTTATTTTTTAAAAATATTTTGATTTAATTATTTCTTAAGATATGCCACGTGTCATGCCGTGTGTCAGAGAAGAGTCATGTGATTTAGGGTTTGGAAATTTATATGAAAAAAGAAAAACAAGGGTTTCCAACACTCACGTAGTTATGTCCCAAACAAAGGAAGAAAAGACATTAATAATTATTTGAGGGAGAGATTTTGATTTTTGCTTGGTTGCTAAAAATTTCATTTATTCATTGATTAATTATAAAATGAATATTGTACTAAATTTATAAACATCTTTCCCAAAAACAACGAACAGTGTATTGGACCAGACAAAACTATATTATTGCAAAAATGTTGTCTAATTATGGGTCTTAGTTCACATGCTCATCAATTAACCTTCTTATATCTTTCTTCGATTAGATTAGATCAATTTTCGATACTGAGTTCAATTAGATTAATTATTCGTACAAAGCGCATACATCTTGTAGATGTACTTGTCTAAATTTGAATTTTCGAAAGATAATAATATTTCGTTTTATCACCGAGATCAGAATTACCGAGATCAGAATTGAAAGAAAAGAAATAGGAATACAAAAGTGTGAAAAGGATGATCACATGGCATTGCGTATTAAGATATGCACATGAAGGTCCACAATGTTAGCTCGAAAACAAGCACATTTCTTAAATCCCACTTGCCATCAAACCCCAACTTGGAACATAAACATAAACCCTTATTTCCATCCTCTCTTCTCTGTCCGTTCGATAATTTTAACACGGCACGATCTTATAACATGAACACGATATGAGTACATACTCGGTTTTTACTTAAAACCCAAACCTTTTCTTTATAAGTCCAACCTGCTTTCTCCAATGCACTCGTCTTCTTCACGTCCAACATCACTATCTTTGTGTGGTCCTTCTTACCTCTTTATATCTCTCTTATAACTTCAATTCTTCATATCTTATATCTAACGCTACACTACTTCTCGTCCTCCTCCTTCTTCCTTGTGCATTTGCATATCTTGTGTTATTCGGTTTTTGGTCGTTATTTGGGCGGTGTTGGTATTTCTCCCCCAACATGTCGAGCAGAAGGTCGAGGCAGTCGAGTGCGGGCGTTTCGAGGATTTCCGATGATCAGATCATCGAGCTCATCTCGAAGTTACGTCAGTTCCTCCCCGAGATTCGCGATAGGCGTTCCAATAAGGTACATGATGATGATGGTCATGAATTCCCGTGGTGCATGTGCCACATGGGAATAGTACTATATTTCAGTTAAAATAATGGTACTGGTCCTTGAAAATACAGTTTGAAAAACTTGACCCCCGGACATCAAGGGAACATATTTTCTTAGGTTTATGCTCCCCCCATTTGACTTGAAACAGTGCATGCCCTTGACCCTATGTACATCGTTTCAAATATAGACCGACGAATAATTTCACGTCACAAAATCAGATTCAAAAAAGTTATGTTAAAAGTTTAGGGATACGAAATTATATAATCAATAGAAAATACTTAAACTATAACAATAACATCACCGTGCAGGTATCGGCGTCCAAGGTTTTACAAGAGACATGCAATTACATCAGAAGTTTGCACAGGGAGGTGGACGACCTAAGTGAGCGGCTGTCGCAGTTGTTAGCCACCATTGATGCCGATAGCGCCGAGGCTGCGATAATTAGGAGTTTATTTATGTAATTATATATATATATATATATATATATATATAGTTTAAAGATGCTTCCCCCATGTGCCAAGGGTTTGCAATCTAATTACCTAATTTGTATGATAAAAGGACTTGCACTAGCAAAGCCTTTTAATTTCAATGGCAATATACTACTACTTTCTCTTGCATGAGATCTATTGTTGTAAGATGAGCGGTATCTGATCGAAATTTATCCCTTTTAATTTGAACAGAGAATTATTGGACTAAACCGATAACTTTATGTCGGTAAGTTGGGATCAAGTGTGTGATACTTATAATTTGCCCTAAAATCATCATTAGTGAGTGATTTGATGGAAGACTAATTAAGTTTTATTTCAAACCATGCATGCCCTACATGTTACAAGATTTCTTCGTTAACTATTAATTTTGACCGTCGATTGTTTTTTTTATATTAAAATTCGATTCCAACGATATAAATTCGAATTCATTTTCGTTGTTGTACAGTGTTTGCTCACAAGTGTCACAGGCAAATATTATGACCCCTCATAAGACCCCATCCAAAGTCTAGTCAGTAGGAACATGGTGGTACTATGGTCTCAGAAACCTGTTCATCTTTTAGTAAACAACTAAACATGATTTGAACCGAAAGGACAAAGATATCGATGGACATAACTCCATGTTCCAGACTTCACCATTTGGTATCAACTTAGGAAAATTCTGCAGTAAATTAAACTATACATATACATACATATATAGACACACAAATTTTGCTTCTTTTACTCATTATTGACCCCATTGTTGATATAAGCTATGATAATTTCTTTTCTTCTTAATTCATTTACATACATGCATGCATACATACATTTAGTTATGTGTTATAAGGCTTCGCCTGATTAATTTGGACCGACATGTGTCGCACACCTGATTTTGGTGTATGAGTCTCCTAGCGGGGATTTTCTACATTCACAAGGACTCGAACCTAAAACCTTGTTTAAGCGATATCAAGCTAATTACCATTTGAACCAACCTCGTTAGTTTAGTTATGTATGCTTTAATGTAAGTTGAGCCCTTTTTTGCACCTTAGCCAAAAGGCTTGATGATCTTGCTTCAAGCTTACATTATTTGACTTGCTTACACTGAAAGTCAATGTAACGTTTTCACTTTGGAGGATTCTATGGGATATGGCTGTCCCCAAAGCTCATCCCCTTTATTACTATTTACTTCTGACTTACGACCAGGGAACTAAATAGCTTCTTCGGTCGTATTTATCGATATTGCGGGCATATGGGACGTTATTGCAGTGATTGGGAGTATCACGGTCATGAAATAACGGTATTGTTGTTCAATTGAGCATGTTGGAATCATCACATTATCTTTTGCTACTCTGTTTCCGATCATCGAGTAAACGCCGGAAAACGCTCTCCATAATGGTGTATTTTCATGATTATGTTCCTAATCTGCGTATACATATATCGCAAGTGCACTGAAATTATAAATGAAGATGTTCATCGGATCGATTTCTTGATGAACTTGTGAGTACTAATATGGAACTAAATGAAAATGAGGTTTACTCATTCTTTGAGATAGGCCATAAGTTAAGATACATTCTTAATCTCGATCTCTAGCGAGTGAACATTGTGCATCCCGCCTTCCCCATCGGATATCACATTTTTGGCATGATGAAGAAATCGAAACCGTCCTCGAATTTAGGTCTCTGCAGCAGTTCTGTTTGTTGTTTTTCCCCGATCAGGCTTAGATTTTCGGGACAGCACGATGAGCAACATGGAGCATTAGTTTGAGTTGTTCTCGTTAGCTCATCGAGCTAAAACCGCTGATTATCTTTGCAGGTTACCGGTACAAATCCATTTGTTTCTTCTCCTGGAGTAGTTGTGACTGTTGTCAAAACAATGCTAGCCAGAGTGTATGTTTTGGGAAAAGATGCCCTTCTCAAGGCCAAAGGCTTGGACGAGTCCTATCGGGTCTCCGCAACCGCGGCGACCAAAGTTTCTGAGCTTAGCAATAGAATTGGCCTAACTGATAGGATCAACACCAGCATGGAGACCGTAAAATCAACGGACGAGAACAACACCAGCATGTTTCAGACATCACCAACTCTGCTGCCTCAGGTGCTGGGACTGCAGTGGTAACAGCTGCGAGTTTTACAGGGAGAACCGCTGTAGCAGCTACCAATGCCGTAGTCAATAGCGGCTATTTTGCCAAGGGAGCATTCTGGGTACCCGTCATGTTGAACCGTGCAGCTCAAGCAACTGCTGATCTTGGTACCCATGGACATAAACAAACACCAAGTTTCATTTAACACCCTTTTTACTGGTCACCTTCTTTGATTGTTTGTCCATTTAATTTGATGCATATCACATGCCAACCACTTGTTCGGGTCGGACTCAGCTGAGTGCGTGTATTGGGCCATAGTATGTGTCGAAACGTTTTTTTTTTCAGGAGGGGAAAAGGGGGTCTCGTTTCAAAAATAATTATTGAATCGATCGGTTAGTGATAAAAACGTGGTTCGAGGAGTTGCCACCAATATTTGATTAGAGTGTGATTGGGCACCCAAAAATAAATTTGTCATTTTAATAAAATATTAATTTTAATTAAAACGACAAACTTGCGGTCTGCGTTACCAAAATTTGAGTTCGGGAGTCAGTTACATGTGGGGAAGGATTAGCACCCCACAACGCCCTAATTCGGTACCTAGTCAATTAATTAATTGTCTTTGCAATAAAATTTACAAGTTCGAGTCTAATTTAATTTAAGATCCCCTAAGTAATGTTCTTTGAATTTTCGGATGAAACATGATAATATTTAATTATTTCCTATCGAGAAGAATCGATCTCTCATACCTTGAAGCAATTGATTCTTACTCCAATCGAAATAAAGAAATATTAGAATTTCATTATAAAGTTCAATATTAATTCAAAATAATAACACCCAAAATAATTTTAAGAGTGAAATCGATAATATCTAATTATTTCCGATCGAGAATAAATGACCTTTCGTGCATTAAAACAGTCATTTATTACTCCAATTGAAATAAAGAGATATTACTATTTCACCTTAAAATTACAAAGCAATTTGAATGAAAACGATAATATCTAATGATTTCCAATCGAGAATAAATGACCTCACGTACCTTAAAGCAGTCATTTATTACTCGGACCGAAACGAAAGGATATTACTATTCTCAATGTCGATTCGAATGTTATTGTTTTGAAAATCTACCGGAAAACACATACAAAAATAAAACAAATAAAAAGCACACATCAAGCAAACATAATTAATTATTTTACCGATATTTAATGAGAATAAGGATGTTCAATTATTTAAATATCTCTAGACGAGGCCTTAGATTCGTTCTAACAGGCGTTTCTCGATGAATTTAATTTAGCAAACTAACATGCAACAATTAAAACAAAACAAAACAAAACATACAAGTGACTAAAACAAACATTTTCAACATTAAGTACTAAAATGAAAATAAATAAAACATGAGACTAAATTAAAGTAAATTAAAATTCTATGGCCGAATTAAAAAACTAAAAAACACATTAGGGTTTGGAATACAAACATACAAAAATATGGGGGCTATTTCATAAATATTCCAAATTTTTCTACATTTTACATATTTGAATAAATAAAGGTAAAATTACAAACTAAGTCCCTAAATATTCAAAGAAAAATTAAACAGTCACTACAAGATTAAAATGCAAAACACGCGAAAACATGCAAGGGCTAAATAGCAAATATTCCTAAAAATAAACAACAAGCACATAAATGGGTAAATTACAGAGAAAATCCCTACATGTGACTAACATGAAAAAACACGCTAAAGTTAAAGGGACTAAACTGATATTATACAAAATATTGCAAAGCATGAATATAAATAGGAAAATAACAAAATTGGTCCCTTCTAGTGACCTCTTTGCAAAAACATGGAAAAGTTCAAGGGACCCTAAGGTGATTTCCCCCGAAACGTTTCCTATATATATACCAACCTTTTTCCTTTTTCTTCATTTTAATTTGTTTTAAAAAAATTTAGAAGTTTCTCTCTAAGAATCTGGCCGGCCGCCGTCAGCCGCGCTTCTGGTGGCCGTTGGATACCAAGATTCACCATAAGGCTCGCCTTGACCTCCCCGTCACCGATCCGGGCTTGGTTTCACGCGAAACGACCTCCAACGCCGTAAAAATGGGCGAGACCCTTCGGATTTCTTGGGCTCTGATCTTCTTTCTCCGCCGTTGGATCCAGCCCAAACCAAAGTAGATTGGTCCCCTCGTTGGTGCGGTCCTCCTCATCATTTAGATCCGCGAGTCGACTCCCCGAACGCTAACGACGTGCTCGGCCAAAGGTAACTCACCTCTATTTCTTCACTTTTTTATTTTTTTATATTCGAATGCTAAAAACTGTAATATAAAAACACAAAATTTATCTTCGAAACTTTCGAATTTTCTGCCTTTTTGTTGCTTTTTTTTATCTGGAAAAGAAAACCGAGCGCCCCCTTTACAATTTTTTTATTCGGGTTTTATAAGCCCAATATCTTACATGATTTCTCTGTTTTTTATACAAAATGATTACAAAATAAAATGGCAGTGTTTGCGTGTGGTTTTGCATTTGTGGTTGCTTGTAGAAATGTTCTGAGTTTTTTGACACTTGCAGGGTCTCAAATTGGCTGTAGCAGTGGTGGCTGGGGAGTGGACGAAACAGAGGTGGCTTGGGATTGGTTTCTGTGGTTGCGACAAGTCTTCAATGCTCGACGGTGGCTGCTGAAAGGGGGCTAGGGTTTGGAAACCCTAACTACTTTAGGCCTGCTTTTGGGTTGCATGTTTGTTGGGTTAGTCGAGTCTCTGTTTAGTCCTGGTGGGTTACATTGTAACCGGGCTCGATTGGACTTGTTGTAATTCGAGATCTAAATTGGATTTTGTTGTGAGGCCTGAAAATAAAATTAAAATTTAATTATTAATAATAATAATAATATAATAATATTGAATGAGACGAAAAACTAGTGTCGACAGTCTGTTCTATCGAAAACGTATGTG